GGTATTTGTAATGTTTTCTAACAACATCCTGAAGGCAGATTGTTAATGTAATCTAGACATCAATTATCTTATACTCTGGACGTATGCCTGTATACCTAAAAGCAGAATTTGGCTACTGCTCATTCCATGTCTAAAGAGAACAATAAAAAAATCAAGAGACTGAATTTTTTCTCTTTTTTCTACAAAGTTGAAAGGTGGGGGAGGGAGTTGAAATTACTTTCACAGACAGACTACCCTAACAAAGAAGTAGAAAAATTTGAGTCCGTTTGGTCTGGCTTCTTTCATTGTACATATCCAAATTTTTTATTGCATGGCTAAGACTTTTACTCTGGTATCAATAACACACACCTACAGTTTAAGGATTAGGCACTGTCCAGAGAAATGTCTCTTGCCTTTGCTCTAAATCAAGTCATGATTTCACCCTGTTTCCATTATGTACATCAGTAAAATAGATCTTTAGAACTTAACCTCGCCCCTGTTCCAGGGAGATTTTTGCCTGCACTAGGACAGCAAAACATAACTACACTATCACTTCTGACTGTACACAAGTCTGGATCTTGCTCTCACAAAACTTTCATTAGCTTCACCACGGGTATGAATGTGGCACATACTTATAATACAATTTAATCCATGGGACTTGCTCCTACAACAAAGCTCAGTCAGGGGTCTGCTGAAAAGCCAGGGCAAGAAATTTCACAATTGAGTGAAAGACATTTCAGCTCAGACATACCTTTCAAATCCTGCTGCATGTTTCCTCCTTTCTGGGAAAGTTGCTGGGAAGGGAGTCACTCTCTTCTCCATTGCCCTTGGAACTTTAATTAGTATTGCTTTGGTTTATTTCAAAAGAAGCTATTAAAAAGCAAATAAAGTGTCTCATGAGACACTACAGAGAGAAAAAACAGGGCAACACAAGGAAAAATGCTGTGAATTGAAATTTAAAAATGGAAAGAAAAGTACAGATGAGGTATTTTTCCATGTAATTTCTTCCAGGATTCTGCTCCTCCTTTTGTTTTGTCTGTGATGTCTACGACTTGCCATTCATATTCCATCCCTGTGCTTGGAAATTGCTGTCCATCAAGTGAAAGGTGAAAGAAAAGGAAAAAAAAAGTAGAACGATGTGGGGAAGACATGAAGGGGTGCAGGAAGGAGGACATCTATTGAGTGTAAAGGTATCCAAAGGAGATGGAAATGTGTTCCCCAAGGCCATGGTCTTCGATGGTGCTGCTTGTATTTTCAGGCTGTAGCATAGCAGATGTATGAGAAGAGCCAGACTTCACATGCTACAGTAAGTGCAAAATCTCAAAATGTAGAAGCCATCACATCAAGGGTTTCCTTGTCCCCTGATAGAGTCCGCCCACAGTGGTTCTCTAGAAACAGTTCTATTATCAAGTAGACATCCATTGCTTTTTTGTTGGTTTTTTTTCTATTTTTTTATTTAAAAAGTAGCTTTTCTAATAATACATAGAATATATAAATAATAATAATAATTAAAAAAAACTATTTGGGTTTGCTTTCTGTTCTCTAACCCATCTGTATTTTTTGTGGTTTGCTGATATATATATTAAAAGACAAGAAAATCAACTCTGCTCACTATTAAAAAAAATATTAAATCCATTTTTATGTTTCCAAAGAGAAAGAGAAGGAGGGGAGGTGGGATAAAACCAAATTAAAATGAAAAAAAAAATTAAAAAAAAAAAACAAAACAGGAAAATCAGAAACCTTCTGTCTCTTCAAAGTAGTTGTCAAGAGCTTTAAATGCTTGTGCTTTCAGTGTACACCCCACTGGGAAAACATAACAAAAATAACAAAAAAAAAGGGGAGGGAGGAGAAAAAAAACCAACCAATCAAAAACCCAAGAGGACCTAAAATTAAAAATTAAAAAAAAAAAAAAAAGAAAAAAAAGAAAAAGAAAAAGGTAATAATAATCTTAGTAGTGAAAAGGACAGCTCAGAGTTCCTGTGTCTTTTTAGTTATTTTAGCAGCCGCCCTTTTTGTCTGCAGAGGGAGACCTGCCACCACAGCCACCTCCTCGGCTCGAGAGAGGCTCTTCTGCATCGTCCTCGTCAAAGCCATGAAAGGTCGAGGTGTCGCTTTCTGATGTGGAACCGAACAAGTCCTCCGTAGTGCGTGCTGGCGCTGCTTCGTCCCTCCTGCCTTCTCTTCCCAAATGAGCTGACATGTATGATGAATATATCAGCACATGGGTTAAGCAACAGGCATCATCATCATCATTTTTTTTCATCATTTGCATTAGCATTAAACAAGTCAGACTATCAAGCTCATAGGTGTGTGCTTGTATGTGCCCGCGCACCCCAACAACAGAGCATAGGTAGAACTGCAGCAAGAAAAATAACAAAGGATCAGTTTCTCTTTCCAAGAAAAAAATCTACAAACACCACAGGTGCCCACAGCTACAGCAGCGAAAGGGTTAATCATGTTTTCCTCTCTTCAAAGGACAGTAAAATGTTTCTTCATGATTATTTAGATAATTTTTAAAATATTTTTAGACCACGTAAGTAATGAGACACTTAGCTCTAAGAACAATGGCATCAACAGTCACAAATTTTCTGCTATAGAAATGTAAGCCACTAGATACCTCATCAACCTCAGGACTACTTTTTATCCTTGTTCTTCACCTGATCCTAAAGAACCTCCTCTGTAGACAAAATTAAATACATTTTGAAGACTCAGTGAAAATAACCTAAACCAATACTTTAATACAAATTTCATGGAATGTCCTTCAAAAATAAAAAAACCCCAAAAGTAATATATACAGCTCAACAACTAAAACAACTGAGATGAGGAGTAACCCATCTTGGGAAACACTGAAAAGTTCAAAATTTTGTGAGTCAATCCAACTTTCAAGATGGAACAGGAAATTCTCCACACCGAATACCAATAATGGCAACAACAACCATAAGAAGACTCCTAAAAAGAGAAGTCAAATACTGAAATCTGTGAAATTGAGATTTGTTTTCTCTCTCAGTCAAACTTTTTATGTGATTTATAGTACAACCTTCAAATTCCCCTTTTAGGGAAGGTAGAGAAAAAAGATATCTCTTGTGCCCCAGCAAGTGTGAGATTTTAGGGAACAGCTATTTTGTTATTCACAAACAGTAGCATGTTATTAAGCAACCGACTGTTGGGTCCCTGCTCCAGCTACAAGAATCAGCCATGTAAGTACACTGCACTGCTTGAGACAGAAAGAAGTAAATCCTGTTCACAAGAAAGAAAATTGATATGACAAAATAATTGGCAGATAAACCATATTGTAGAAATGTGATTTTACTGACTTTGTGAACAGAAAAAGCAATATAATTTCCATGACCTCTCTTTCATTGTAATGAAAATGTTCTCCATTATTATAAAAGAGAAAGATGGCAGACACCAAAGAGGTTTCATTGTTTTAGTTTAGAGATTAGTGTGTGGTTATACCTTAATCACTTTCATCACACATCAGTCACAGCATTGCAGACCCTATGAATGACCCAAGCGGGTCAGAATTTGTACAAGCATAGCATTTAATGGAACTGGTTTTGCATAGTTTAGGCTACAGGCTGATCTACTTGTTTTATCACACTAAGGAATCAAGGGAATTAATGTATTTGTGTTGCATTCTGATATAATCACCATAGCAATGTTTAAGTAGCAATAAAATATGGATCCATCTCACTGTGCCATATCAGGATAATGCTGAAACTAGTTTATATTGAAATATAGCAATCAAGGCGAAGGGCAATGATCTTCCAAGATGGCACCACAGACCCCATGGACTTTCCCCTTCAGTTATTAGAAGCAATCACGTGTACACTACAAGGTCCATGTCTTTGACTGCACAGCATTCATAAGGATGCCCCTGGAGAAAACCAAAGGATTTGCCATTGATCCTCTGGTGATCAGTATCATTTCAGAATATCTTCAGAGGTCACAACAACTGCAGAAGGCAATTTCAGCGAGAGTCTAATTGTTCTCCCATTGAATGAGATAATAGGCTTACTATGAATTTCAGCAGGAGCATAAAAAGGCCATTTCCTTGGCATGAGAACATTCCACATCACATTTCAGCCATGAAGCAACAGACATCTTTCAGTAACTTCAGTACAGAAGGAGCAGCATTCATACTGAATTTCAAGGCCTCTTTGGTTTTCAGATTTCTATATGACCATCTTATTACCACTAGTATCACCACTATACAAAAATCTCAAGTTTCTCAAGTGGAAACTTGGACCAATGCTGGAATATGCAGTTGTTAAAGGCCTCCCAATTCCCTCTACCACCACTACCTCTTACATGAGCTATAAATAACTGTTCAGCTGGTACAAATTTTTTCAAAAAAAAAAATAAAAGAAAAAAAAAATAAAAAAAGGAAGAAAACAACAGCCCAGAAATAAAGACAGCTTAGAATGGGAAAGACACAATTGCCTACATTTAAAAAGATAGAAGGGAAGAAAAGGGAGAAATAAAAACCTCTTTAAACAAAACTAATGATAGTCATCTTGTAAGAGGATAATTCTTGACAGCTAGCCCCATACCTACCCTGTAATTTTCTCCCTCTTTCTTTTTTGGATGAAGAAATGCATGAAATGTGTAATCAATGGGAATGCTTGTCATGCAACTTTCATAAATCTTGTAAGTAAATTATAGTTGTAATTACAGCATTTAAGACAGAGACCATTCTGTGAAATTGTCATAGGATTTTCTCCTTCCATGTGAAGAACAACTAGTTCATGTACCAATGTTCTCAAAAGCTAAGAAATAAATTAAAACTACATTATTTCATAAGACCCCATTAGCTTAAATATGTGAATCCAACAATGGGGTTTATAATATAAAATTTTTCAGTCATCCTTTCCCACAAACACAGAGAAGAGGTAAGATTCCACCTTTTATCCCTTCCCAGATATGCTGCCTTTCTTCAAAATTTTCAGGAAGTGCAAAAACCAAATCTCACAAATGCCTTGCACAAATGTGCAAGAAAGAAGCAAGAAGGAGTCACCTACCAGAGCGCCCACAGTCTGAGCACGATACAAGTTCCTCAGGCCGGCCACTTTTTTTGTTCATATTGGAGCCTCCGAGGCAGAAGTCACAGTAGTTATTGGGAATGATGACCCCGTCTGGTCCTTTCTGGGCTGCAGTTGGGTTAGAAATCAGATTTACTAAAAGAGCATTCACTTGGACATTTGCCCCTTATCCTTGATATGGTGTTAGCTCAGTGAGTTTGCAGGCCACAGTTTTCCTGAAACATTATCAATCACAACAAAATGTGAACTGCATAAACCATCTCCATTTTAAGTACACCCTGGGGTGTATCTATTTTGCCTGAAATGCCCTTCACTATTTCCTTTATAATCCCAGCCAGGCTGCTCCCTTTCAAGGACATGCTTCCAGATATGCCTTTTACAGTTCAGGGACTTGTAACACATACAGGTATAGAGGCAATCCCTAATGCAGGATAAGATCTATGTTGTCAGTAAGCCAAACCTGGTTTTTCAGGCAGCAGTCATCATCATAATTCCACAAAATACAAATTCATAAAGGAAAAATACAGTCTCCAAAACTCAAAAATCAATAGTGGGAAGATGGGGGGGGATAGGTACTGTCACTGGTTTTATTTCAAGTAGCTTTTTAGGGGATTACATCTCTAAGTAGCAGGGTGTCCTTAGTCAGAAGGTTGGTTCAAAAGCTCCTGAATATTCATAGGCAAAGCAATTTGGGGATGTTTCACCCAAGACTTAAGCCCCCTGCAGCAGTCATGTTCCCTGGGATGAGCAGGAAGGGTCCAACACTACCCCAGCACGCAGCACAGGTGCAGGGTGAGCCTGGGGCAGACAACCCAATCAGCAGAGTTAAAAACATTTTCAGCCAAGAAAAAATGAGTGAGATTATAGTATTATTTTACAGCTAGGAATACTGGGAAAGGAGCAGACACATACTGATCTTAAGTAGAGGAGGAAGCAGATCCCTTAGGAAGGAGAGAAGGGCAGAGGTCTTCTGCATTCCTCTTAGTTGAGCAGAACAGCAATGTCCCTTTTTACTTGCTCACAACTGCCATTTCCCTCCTCTGCTCTCCAGAGAGGGAAAACATCTTCCTGTACACTCTAACTATGAACTGGGAAAGGAGTGAAGGTAATGGTTGGTGTTTGTTTCTTCTCTTTGACCATAAAAAGTCCAGTTATATACCAGTAGGTATACCTGGCCTAAGCCTTCTGCATGAAGAATTTTACAAATGAGAAAATGAAGAACTTTAAACTGCACCATCTCTATTTAATTAAGTTTTTAATGCATATTTTGAAACTTGCAGATTTTTAACAGATGTTTCTGCAGCCTTTATTAATGGTCTTTTTTGTCCACATTCAAATTTCCCCCAAAGAACAATGACATTCTAAAGGGCTTCTGGTAGCAGTCCAAGACATACACTTAAAATTTCCTCTGAGTTCAATCTGCTTTTCTGGTTTGGGTGCATCTAGTTATTCATTTATTTCCAGATGTTGATCAGCTGAACTTTCGGAGATACTGAAAGATTCCAGGTAAGGTGAAATGAAGAAGAAAGTTAAAACCCATAAGGCTGCAAATACATCACTGTCTTTCTCTGTGGTCATGGAGATCCTGACAGTATTTACTAAACAATGGACTTTGCTCTGAAATTATCCTGGTTGACAGATCCCCAACTCTCTCAAAAAAAGACAGAGGTTCCCAGTGTTAGATTAGCATTTTGTCTGTTCCAGGAAGGCATTTAATACATGCATGCAAGATAAGCAAAAGAAGAACAGAAACCAGGTGGAAGTCTAGCACACCGGCTCATTTTAAGAGCTGTAACAAAATGATCATAAAGTTGCTGCTGGTACATATTTTGTATATAAAAAACAGACCTCCCTAACATTTCTATTTCCCACTACAGCCCCATTTTGAAAAAGTTGAGTAATTACCTCTTTATAGTATTCTGCATCTACAGACAGGCCATGTGCAATGCAAACTCAGCAAGCTCAGAATTCAGTGACGTTTTTTGTTGCTGTTCCTTATTACATTATTTCACCTTTCCTCCAAGTGTCTTAAAGTGCCTTACAGATATCATTAACCTTCAGTAAGGTCAAGAGCCTCTTTTTGCCATTTATTCTAACCAAAGTGTTCTGGACCCTAATTAAGTCTCATGCTGAGGTTGCATTGCATTTTAAAGCTGAAAGACTTGGAGGTAGAGTAGTAAACTGGCTTATTCTCAAACACACAAATATTCTGCGGTGAGGCCACAAACAAAAACAAGCAGTCAGGGTGCCAGCCAGCAAACTTAGGAAAGAGCTCCACTTCTACCACTGCTCATCATGGTGTAATTAACACTCTGCATATACTGACTTAAATTTTTTCAACATGGATTATGACCATAAGATCCACTAATTGTCAAACTGGAAATGGGACAGGGGAACTCAAAAGTACGTACAGGGATCAATTCATCTGCAGTGTGTGGGAGAGGTGGAGGGAATTTGCTGAGTGTGATAAAGCTGAAGGGATTCTCCCAGATCACTGGCAGGGGAATAAACATCGGGTTTGATTGCTCTTCTCTTCATCTTTCTTCTCTTTCCTTTCTTTTCCGTTTCCCCCCCTTTCTTTTCTTCCTTGATTTCTTCCAATTTATTTAATTTTTAATAGGAGTGTCTGTGTGCTCACTTATTAACCTGGCTCAGTAGAGTGTGATAGAAATGTCAGGCCTGAAAAGTCATAGACAGATGTGAAGTTCCAGAAGTTACATCAATGATATTTTAAATGATGTATCTCTAGAGCCAAACAAGCCAGGCAATATTATTCCATTCAATGGGGATTTTTATTCTAACAGGTGCAAAGACTAGAACCAAACCTGACTTAAACTTATTTTCTTGATAAGTACCATATAGTGAATTAAGTTACAGGCTACATCACAGAAGGTTTGATAAAGAGATTTTCAGATGACAGTAAGCAGAATTCTTACTTTCAAAGGAACTTTTTTTTGCATATATCCTTGGAGTTTCTAGTTCTATTTTACTGCCATTAACAAATGATGAAGGAATTAAGAAACAAAGGAAAAATGGCAAGATTTAATGTGCAATCTTCATGAATAGGGTATCGTGCAGGAAAAGCCCGACCCTAATCTCACCCCGAAATCAATAAAACTACTTACAAAAGTAACTATGGGAATGGATTCACAAGAAAAAACAATTAACTTCCTAGGGAGTAATGGTGCTGCTTTACATCTGAGACATAGTAATTAACTAGGTATTCACTTTTTGCATAAAGTAGTCAACAAGTAGAAGGTGCAAGTTTAAGCCAAACAGCTCAGCTAGCAAGAAGCAGCTCCCTAGCAGAGAGTTGACTCATTTAGATCAGGTGACTGTCTCCAAGCATTTGGTAAAAAAAAAAAGCTCACCCATAATGAGAAACTGTTTTAAAACAAAGACTTGAAAACCAGCCATGGCCTTGTTCTATCTTACTCAAAACTCTACTGATTTTCTTTTACATTGCAAACTGCAACAACAGATCAAAAGCTCTAAGGAGCTTTGAGTATCCCCTGAGCTAAAGTTTGCTCATAGGAGGTGTACTTAAATCAGTGCCTCTTGCCATTTCAACTTAGATTTGTTTTCAGGTTTCATCAAAGGCCCTGTCTTCATCTACATGTCCCTCAAAACTGAGATACAATTATTTAAAAATACTTTAAAAATGGATTAAGGAGAAACACAGAAAGATCTGCACAGTTCAAATAATAGCTTCCCTGAACCTGAAAGGTGATTCACAGATAAATCTAGATGCAGAGTGAAAATAAAGTCAATATTTCCTAAGAAATTTGGTATGCACTTATTCTGAAACATTTTTTTCCTTCTTAGCCTAATCAAGTTAATTCCAAGCTATAACAAGCTGAGCAGAATAAAGAACTACTTAAAATATGGTATCATCATTCACAGTAGTCTTTTTGCAAAGCAAGTTTGGTAAATTACATAAATTATGTAGTATATCACACAGCAACTTTGTTCTGTAGACAAAACCTAAAAATGAAACAAGTTGACTGAGTTTAAACATATAAAATAACTTCTGTGAATTCTTTATTTGGAAGGCAGAGGCTCTAAACAGAATTCTAGCTTCCCTTCATCCCTCCCAAGAAACAAATATACCCTGTAAGTTATCTCCCACATAGTTTCAGTTTCATAATAAAAGCAAGCTACTTATAATGAAATAATATCAAGAAATAAGAAATTTCCCATCTCCTAGAGCCACATGACTCAATAAAAATCTATTTTTAGAGATTAGAAATTTTCTGCTTCTTAGGGCAACATAAAATATCTTGGATGGAAAGCAAGTTCAGAAGAAGGAATTCTTGTCTCTGTTTTTTTAAAAAAAACTCAGAATACAGATATTTTAAAAAGTCTTTCTTCAAAATGTGACCCTTAAATACATATAGACAAACCCCCAAACAAATGAAACCTTGTATCTATCAATTTTTCTGATTTCTAAGTGAAATTATTTTGATGATTTGGATCACAATCTTCAAAAACTTGGTAGGTGGAACCAGTGCTTAAAAGAATAATTGGTTTTCTGTTCCTGGGTAACAAATCGCTGTCACATATATTTCTTCAGCCTGTAGGTAATACAGCACAATACTGAACCATAATTTCAGATATGCAGCTAGGTTTGGCAGCATTTTATCCCTGTTTTGTGTCATATCCACGTCACTGGGAAGGCGATGGAGAATGCATGGAGTGCATGCCTTGCTGCTGGGGTGTGGAGCTGTGCATCATTCATTTCAATGATTACAGTGGATTGGTACAGAGATACACACATTCACAAAGGGATTTTCCCAGCACATTTTGTCCAGCTCTTACCTGTTTCTTCTGGGTTTGATCCAAAACCAATAAAGCCCACTGGATGTTTTCAATTCAATTCAAAAGGCTTTGAATCAGGCCATGTACTCTGTTTGCAACAAGGATCTTCAGAGCACAATAGAGTCAGCAGGAGCCTGCACATAGGCCTGAGTCAAGCCAGTGCACTTCATGATGGAGAAAAGGGGGTGGATTTACTTTTTTTGTTAGGTTTTTTTGTTAATTTACAAGACTCTTTGTCTGAGTTGGGGCCAGTTTTCCTTTCCAGGTCCTCCCTTTTTCTCCCTTGCAAA